TGGGAATGTATTTAAGTTTGTGACACAATTAGTTACATATGAGGACAAGTGTGTGTTTGGCGTAACAAGCTTTATAGGACGAAGTGTTTCGGCCCGGCACACATTTTCACGATTTGTAGACATTTTGGGACTTGTTTGATTTTTGGTGTGTAGCTTGTTTTGGGCCTCTACAACACTGTAGTATAGATGGAAAAATGGGGACCTGAAAAAAGTCCCCATATTTCCTCAGGTCCTGATATTGAAGGTGTGTTATCATGCAAAAGTCCTCACATGTCCACAAAACAAATGCACACACACACACACAAACACACACACACACACACACACACACACACATACTGGTTTCCATTCTTGATGGGGACCAGGTTTCAAATCATCACATGTGGGGACCACCCTTTCTAGAGGTTCTAGAGTCATAAAAAAAAATTGAGTTACTTAACAAAACATTGTAAGCATATACACATCTTAAAATGTGTCAATTGATGAAATGATATTCTGGCAGTGTACTGTGGGGACCTATAAAAAAACGAGTCAATGTCACTTAGAAGGACCAGATTTGCATATTTTTTGCATAATTCACACACTTTTATAATTTACTCATGGGGACCCTTTGTAAATCTAATAAGTACAATGTTAAGGCCAAAGAATGCACAGACTGTCTTTGTAAATGTGCCTTTATTAACCAATTTTATATTTTTTATTGCTAGGATTGTGAACAGCTTATTTCTTGATGAAAGCACATTTTGCTTCAAATGCAGAGCAAAAAAATGTCTTTCGTCATATATTCTTTGTACACCATTTTTGTTGTATGCCTTAACAGCCATATTTGTAGTGGCCTGACTTGAACTGAGTTCAACTGCAGAAGATGTTTCAGCTGAAACACATCTTAGCATCTTGAATGAAGTTGTGAAGTCCCATTCAAGATTGTTTGCAGGGATAGAATCATCAAGAATGAGTTGTAATTTTGTTTCATGACGAAGTTTGGATCACTATCACTTTCTGAATCAGACGAGGTATCTGGGACATAGTTGTCTGAACTATCCATTGTAGAATCATAAAACTCACAGTCAAGATGATTTGTGTCTTTCATCTGAATAAAACAAGAAAAAACATTTTAACAACTAAGAATTCCAAAAAAGTAAAAAAAAAAACAGTCAGAATGCAATTCATTGAAAAAAAATACTTACAAAATAAATGAATGACACATTTAACTTCACTGGATGATAACAAGTTTTATAGGTACATTTTGTACTGACTTACTATGACACTTACTTTGTACATAATCGACTTCCCATGTTTGTGCAAGAATCTGTAAATAAAAAAAAACTTTATAAACAAACAAGACAAAAAACGACAAATCGACTTCCCATTGTGTGCTGACTCACACACATAATTAAACTGCAACTATCCATTTACTGACTTACACATAAAAAATATTGTATAAAAGGTTAAAAAAACTAATCTTTCTCAGGACTGACAAGGAATCTCTGGTATTTTGTCATGATTGATGAATAGGATCCTACTTGTTTCTGATTGGCATCGTTTCCAACTGACGTATTCATGTGGGACTGAGGCTGGTCAGAATGATCAAAAAATCTGTGGTATAAGTGTCATCTGTGGGAGACAGAAGGTATGAGGATTTACAATTGAACACTAAAATAATCACCGTCTAAAACAGTGATTACAAATTAAAATCAAAAGACCACTCAAGCAGTCCCAAATACTACCAGCAGTACACAAATCATAGTTTGACTGATGTAAAACCAACTTGTTTGTACATACACACATCTAGGGTCGGGGACACGTCTCATGAGGACCTTTTCACACCCCTCTCAATTCCTTCATGGGGACCAATTCAATGGACTTTCACACACTGATCAACTCATCAGCAGTCACTCCAGGTGTGCTATGGGGACATTGTGAGGGCTATTTCACACACTTCCATTCCTTCTTTACGGGGACCGTTTCAATGGACTTTCACACATGATTAAACTCAACAGAAGTGTTTTATGGGGACATCGTGAGGGTTCATTTGAAAGAAACATTTAAGTAAAAAGTCCTTGTCTGCAATGACCAAAAAAGGCTTAAAGTATTCTCCTTCTATTCCACTTACTGAATATAGTTTAATGAGTTACACATGAAAAATCTTATACAAATGACTTCAAATGTTAAAAAGCTTTCTCAGAATTGACAAAGAACCTCTGGAATCTTGTCATGATTGATACAAATTATCCTACCTGTTTCTGAGGGGCATCGTTTGCAAATGACGTATTCATGTGGCACTGAGGCTGGTCAGAATGATACAACAGAACCTGGAGTAGTGCAATCTGCTGTCACGTGGGTCATCTGTGTGAATCAGAAGGTATGAGGATTTACTATAAAACACTTGAATAATCACCGTCTTAAACAGAGATCACAATTTTAATTTAATAGAACCACCCAAGAAGGCCAAAGTACTACCAGAAGTCCACAAATCATATTTTGACAGATGTAAAACAAACTTATTTGCACATACACACATCTAGGGTCGGGGACATGTCTCATGAGGACCTTTTCACACCCCCACCCCATTCCTTCATGGGGACCAATTCAATGGACTTTCACACACGGTTCAACTCATCAGCAGTCACTCAAAGTGTGTTATGGGGACATTTTGATGGCCATTTCACACACTTCCATTCCTCCTTTACGGGGACCAATTCAATGGACTTTCACACATGTTTAATAGAAGTCACTCAAAGTGTTTTATGGGGACATCGTGAGGGTTCATTTGAAAGAAACATTTAGGTAAAAAGTCCTTGTCTGCAATGACCAAAAAAGGCTTAAAGTATTCTCCTTCCACTATTCCACTTACTGAATATAGTTTTAATGAGTTACACGTGACAAATCTTATACAAATGACTTCAAATGTTAAAAAGCTTTCTCAGAACTGACAAAGAACCTCTGGAATTTTGTCATGATTGATAAAATTATTATCCTACCTGTTTCTGAGGGGCATCGTTTGCAAATGACGTATTCATGTGGCACTGAGGCTGGTCAGAATGATCAACAGAACCTGGAGTAGTGCAATCTGCTGTCACGTGGGTCATCTGTGTGAATCAGAAGGTATGAGGATTTACTATAAAACACTTGAATAATCACCGTCTTAAACAGAGATCACAAATTTAATTTAATAGAACCACCCAAGAAGGCCAAAGTACTACCAGAAGTACACAAATCATAGTTTGACAGATGTAAAACAAACTTATTTGCACATACACACATCTAGGGTCGGGGACATGCCTCATGAGGACCTTTTCACACCCCCGCCCCATTCCTTCATGGGGACCAATTCAATGGACTTTCACACACGGTTCAACTCATCAGCGTCACTCAAAGTGTGTTATGGGGACATTTTGATGGCCATTTCACACACTTCCATTCCTCCTTTACGGGGACCAATTCAATGGACTTTCACACATGTTAATAGAAGTCACTCAAAGTGTTTTATGGGGACATCGTGAGGGTTCATTTGAAAGAAACATTTAAGTAAAAAGTCCTTGTCTGCAATGACAAAAAAAGGCTTAAAGTATTCTCCTTCCACTATTCCACTTACTGAATATAGTTTAATGAGTTACACATGACAAATCTTATACAAATGACTTCAAATGTTGAAAAGCTTTCTCAGAACTGACAAAGAACCTCTGGAATTTTGTCATGATTGATACAAATTATCCTACCTGTTTCTGAGGGGCATCATTTGCAAATGACGTATTCATGTGGCACTGAGGCTGGTCAGAATGATCAACAGAACCTGGAGTAGTGCAATCTGCTGTCACGTGGGTCATCTGTGTGAATCAGAAGGTATGAGGATTTACTATAAAACACTTGAATAATCACCGTCTTAAACAGAGATCACAAATTTAATTTTAATAGAAACCACCCAGGAAGGCCAAATTACTACCAGAAGTACACAAATCATAGTTTGACAGATGTAAAACAAACGTATTTACACATACACACATCTAGGGTCGGGGACATGTCTCATGAGGACCTTTTCACACCCCCGCCCCATTCCTTCATGGGGACCAATTCAATGGACTTTCACACACGGTTCAACTCATCAGCAGTCACTCAAAGTGTGTTATCATTTTGGATGACCATTCATCACACACATTCCATTCCTCCTTTACGGGGACCAATTCAATGGACTTTCACACATGTTTAATAGAAGTCACTCAAAGTGTTTTATGGGGACATCGTGAGGGTTCATTTGAAAGAAACATTTATGTAAAAAAGTCCTTGTCTTGCAATGACAAAAAAAGGCCTTAAAGTATTCTCCTTCCACTATTCCACTTACTGAATATAGTTTAATGAGTTACACATGACAAATCTTATACAAATGACTTCAAATGTTGAAAAGCTTTCTCAGAACTGACAAAGAACCTCTGGAATTTTGTCATGATTGATAAAAATTATCCTACCTGTTTCTGAGGGGCATCGTTTTGCAAATGACGTTTTCATAGTGGCACTGTGGCTGGTCAGAATGATCAACAGAACCGGGAGTAGTGCAATCGGCTGTTCACGTGGGTCATCTGAGTGAATCAGAAGGTTTGAGGATTTACTATTAAAACACTTGAATTAATCACCGTATTAAACAGTCGATCACAAATTTAATTTAATTAGAACCACCCAAGAAGGCCAAAGTACTACCTAGAAGTACACAAATCATAGTTTGAAAGATGTAATACAAACGTATTTATCTTCATACAGACATCTAGGGTAGGGGACAATGTCTCATGAGGACCTTTTCAGCTTTAGCATAATAAAGAAGCTAGTATAAACTCTAGCGTTAGCATAATAAAGAAGCTAGTATAAACATTTCTTTGCTAAACACCGATCTCATCTGTTGCTAGTTTAGGAAGATTCATCTTGTTTTCTTAGTAGAATTAAAAGTATCACAAAACCGTATATTGTCTGGTTTAGAAGAACCCAATACTCATCTATAGATATGAAGTGACTGTTGTTGAAGTTTGGTTGCTGAGCGTGTCCATGCGGCGTCCATGCGGCGTCCATGCGGCGTCCATGCGGCGTCCATGCGGCGTCCATGCGGCGCCCATGCGGCGTCCATGCGGCGTCCATGCGGCGTCCATGCGGCGTCCATGCGGCGTCCATGCGGCGTCCATGCGGCGTCCATGCGGCGCCCATGCGGCGTCCATGCGGCGTCCATGCGGCGTCCATGCGGCGTCCATGCGGCGCCCATGCGGCGTCCATGCGGCCTCCATGCGGCGTCCATGCGGCCTCCATGCGGCGTCCATGCGGCGCCCATGCGGCGTCCATGCGGCGTCCATGCGGCGTCCATGCGGCGTCCATGCGGCGTCCATGCGGCGCCCATGCGGCGTCCATGCGGCCTCCATGCGGCGTCCATGCGGCCTCCATGCGGCGTCCATGCGGCGTCCATGCGGCGTCCATGCGGCGTCCATGCGGCGTCCATGCGGCGTCCATGCGGCGCCCATGCGGCGTCCATGCGGCGTCCATGCGGCGTCCATGCGGCGTCCATGCGGCGTCCATGCGGCGCCCATGCGGCGTCCATGCGGCCTCCATGCGGCGTCCATGCGGCCTCCATGCGGCGTGGAGCGTGGGGCGTGGGGAGTGGGGCGTGGAGCGTGGGGCGTGGGGCGTGGGGCGTGGGGAGTGGGGCGTGGGGCGTGGGGAGTGGGGCGGGGGCGTGGGGCGTGGAGCGTGGGGCGTGGAGCGTGGGGCGTGGGGCGTGTGGGAGTGGGGCGTGGGGCGTGGGGAGTGGGGCGTGAGGCGTGGGGCGTGGGGAGTGGGGCGTGGGGCGTGGGGAGTGGGGCGGGGGAGTGGGGCGTGGGGCGTGGGGCGGGGGAGTGGGGCGTGGGGCGTGGGGCGTGGGGCGTGGGGAGTGGGGCGTGGGGCGTGGGGCGTGGGGCGTGGGGGAGTGGGGCGTGGGGCGTGGGGCGTGGAGCGTGGGGCGTGGGGCGTGGGGCGGGGGAGTGGGGCGTGGGGCGTGGGGAGTGGAGCGTGGGGCGTGGGGCGTGGGGAGTGGGGCGTGGGGCGTGGGGCGTGGGGCGTGGGGAGTGGGGCGTGGGGCGTGGGGCGTGGGGCGTGGGGCGTGGGGAGTGGGGCGTGGGGCGTGGGGCGTGGGGCGTGGGGCGTGGGGCGTGGGGGTGGGGCGTGGGGCGTGGGGCGTGGGGCGTGGGGCGTGGGGCGGGGGAGTGGGGCGGGGGAGTGGGGCGTGGGGAGTGGGGCGGGGGAGTGGGGGGGGGGCGGGGGGAGTGGGGCGTGGGGAGTGGGGCGTGGGGAGTGGGGCGTGGGGCGTGGGGAGTGGGGCGTGGGGCGTGGGGAGTGGGGCGGGGGAGTGGGGCGTGGGGCGTGGGGAGTGGGGCGTGGAGCGTGGGGCGTGGGGCGTGGGGCGTGGGGAGTGGGGCGGGGGAGTGGGGCGTGGGGCGTGGGGAGTGGGGCGGGGGCGTGGGGCGTGGAGCGTGGGGCGTGGAGCGTGGGGCGTGGGGCGTGGGGAGTGGGGCGTGGGGCGTGGGGAGTGGGGCGTGAGGCGTGGGGCGGGGGAGTGGGGCGTGGGGCGTGGGGAGTGGGGCGGGGGAGTGGGGCGTGGGGCGTGGGGCGGGGGAGTGGGGCGTGGGGCGGGGGAGTGGGGCGTGGGGCGGGGGGGGGCGTGGGGCGTGGGGAGTGGGGCGTGGGGCGTGGGGCGTGGGGCGTGGGGAGTGGGGCGTGGGGCGTGGGGCGTGGAGCGTGGGGCGTGGGGCGGGGGAGTGGGGCGTGGGGCGTGGGGCGTGGGGCGTGGGGCGTGGGGCGTGGAGCGTGGGGCGTGGGGCGTGGGGAGTGGGGCGTGGGGGCGTGGGGCGTGGGGCGTGGGGAGTGGGGCGTGGGGCGTGGGGCGTGGGGCGTGGGGCGTGGGGAGTGGGGCGTGGGGCGTGGGGCGTGGGGCGTGGGGGAGTGGGGCGTGGGGCGTGGGGCGTGGGGCGTGGGGCGGGGGGGGGAGTGGGGCGGGGGAGTGGGGCGTGGGGCGTGGGGAGTGGGGCGGGGGAGTGGGGCGTGGGGAGTGGGGCGTGGGGAGTGGGGCGTGGGGCGTGGGGAGTGGGGCGGGGGAGTGGGGCGTGGGGCGTGGGGAGTGGGGCGGGGGAGTGGGGCGTGGGGCGTGGGGCGTGGGGAGTGGGGCGGGGGAGTGGGGCGTGGGGCGTGGGGAGTGGGGCGGGGGAGTGGGGCGTGGGGCGTGGGGAGTGGGGCGTGGGGCGGGGGAGTGGGGCGTGGGGCGTGGGGAGTGGGGCGTGGGGCGGGGGAGTGGGGCGGGGGAGTGGGGCGTGGGGAGTGGGGCGGGGGAGTGGGGCGTGGGGCGTGGGGAGTGGGGCGTGGGGAGTGGGGCGGGGGAGTGGGGCGTGGGGAGTGGGGCGTGGGGAGTGGGGCGGGGGAGTGGGGCGTGGGGCGTGGGGAGTGGGGCGGGGGAGTGGGGCGTGGGGCGTGGGGAGTGGGGAGTGGGGCGTGGGGCGTGGGGCGGGGGAGTGGGGCGGGGGAGTGGGGCGTGGGGCGTGGGGAGTGGGGCGGGGGAGTGGGGCGTGGGGCGTGGGGCGGGGGAGTGGGGCGTGGGGAGTGGGGCGTGGGGCGTGGGGAGTGGGGCGGGGGAGTGGGGCGTGGGGCGTGGAACGGCAACAGTCTCATCACAACAGTCTCTGACATCATCACGACAGTCTCTGACATCATCACAACAGTCTCTGACATCATCACAACAGTCTTTGACATCATCACGACAGTATCTGACATCATCACGAAAGTCACTGACATCATCACGAAAGGCAAGGCAAGGCAAGGCAAGTTTATTTATATAGCACAATTCATACACAAGGCAATTCAAAGTGCTGAACAAAACAAGAAAGCATTAAAATCATAAATTATCACAGAACATTAAAAAGAAAGATAAAAATATAAAATCCCTCAGTTGTAGCACAGTTAAACAGAACTGTCTTTAACCTGGTTTTAAACATTGTCAGAGAGGAGGCCTGTCTCACATCTTCAGGAAGACTGTTCCAGATTTTAGCAGCATTAATCTGAAAAGCAGCCTCCCCATGTTTAGTTCTGACTCTGGGCACTAACAGGAGTCCAGTCCCTGTGCTCCTCAGAGTCCGGGCTGGTTCATATGGGACTAACATGTCACTAATATATTTTGGTGTGAGGCCATGGAGAGACTTGTACACAAGCAGAGCTGTTTTAAAGTCTATTCTCTGAGCCACAGGAAGCCAGTGCAGAGACCTGAGGACTGGACTAATGTGGTCGTACTTCCTGGTTCTAGTCAGGACTGGAGCTGCTGCATTTTGAATGTACTGCAGCTGTTTTACAGCCTGTTTGGACAGACCTGTGAGCAGGCCATTGCAGTAGTCTAACCTACTGGAGACAAATGCATGGATAAGAATCTCCAAGTCTGCTTTAGACACTATGTTTTTGATCCTGGCAATGTTTTTTAGATGGTAAAAAGCTGCTGATGTTACTGATTGGATGTGGCTATTAAAATTTAAGTCTGAGTCCAGTATTACCCCTAGATTTCTGACCTTGTTTGAAGGTTTTAGGGAGAGAGACTGTAGGTGACAGATGACGCTCTCTCTTTGTTTCTGGGGACCAAAGACAATCATTTCAGTTTTGTCTGCGTTTAGCTGAAGGAAGTTGTTTTGCATCCACTCACTGATCTGTTGGATACAGTGAAGGAGTGAGTCCACTGGTCCATGTTCTCCTGCAGTCAGTGAGACATAGATCTGAGTGTCGTCTGCATAGTTATGATAGGAAACTTTGTTTCTGCGTATTAACTGACCTAACGGCAGCATGTAGAGATTGAACAGAAGAGGTCCCAGGATCGACCCCTGTGGGACTCCACAGGTCAGGGCCATATGATCTGAGACACAGTTTCCAATCTCCACAAAGTACTTCCTGTCTTCAAGGTAAGACCTAAACCAACTTAGGGCGGTGCTAGTGACGCCAACCCAGTCCTCTAGTCTCTGTAAGAGGATCTCATGGTCGACGGTGTCAAAGGCAGCACTTAGATCTAACAAGATTAAGATTGAGACTTTGCCTGCGTCAGTGTTCAGCCGGATATCGTTTGTAACCTTAACGAGAGCAGTCTCAGTGCTGTGGTGGGGTCTAAAGCCGGACTGAAACATATCAAATGAGTTGTTGATTATAAGAAATCTATTTAGCTGTAGGTAGACAACTTTCTCAAGGACTTTCCCCATAAATGGCAGATTTGAGATGGGACGATAGTTGTTAAGTACAGTGGCATCCAGACTGCTCTTTTTTAGCAGGGGCCTGATGACTGCAGTTTTCAGGGCCTTTGGGAATATTCCAGAATGAAGGGACATGTTTACTATCTGTGTGAGTGAAGGTAACAGACTGCTCAGAACAGACTTTAGAAATCTAGTGGGTAGTACATCCAGGCTGCATGTGGAGGAGCTCAGACTGGAGATTATCTCTTGGACAGTTTTATCATTTACAGGTGCAAAGTGAGTTAGCTCAGAGAGCCTTTCTGGCTGTTGGATGGTTATCTGTGGATTGGAGACAATGGCGCTTTTGATGCCTTGAACCTTGTCATTGAAAAAATTAGCAAACTCATTGCATTTACGTTTGGAAGTAAGCTCTAATGGCATTTGAACAGGGGGGTTTGTTAATCTATTAACTGTTGAGAACAGAACACGCAGATTGTTGCTGCAGCCTTCAATCATTTCAGAAAAATACCTTTCTCTCGTACTACGTAGCACCCGGTTAAACTCGCACAACTTATCTTTGAAGATCTCGTAATCTACCTGGAGGTTGGACTTGCGCCACTTCCGCTCGGCCCTCCGGCACTTTCTCTTTTGTGCCCTGACCGAGTCTGCTTTAGCCCACGGCGCCTTCTGCTTATTTTTCACTATTTTAACCTTCACAGGAGCGATGGTGTCCAGAACATTCAAAACACTAGAGGTGACAGAGTTAAACAGTTCATCTACAGTAGAATACGATGCATTCTCAAAGTTTATCATTTCCATAAATAGTTCACTCGTATTTTCATTTATGCGCCTTCTTTCGAACAGTTGCAGAGTCCACTGGTGGTTTGTTAGTGAAACACATGTCAAAAAAAACACAGAAATGATCCGAAAGAGCAACATCGACCACGTTTACATTTGAAATAATCACCCCCTTTGTAACTAACAGATCTAGAGTGTGCCCTCTGCTGTGGGTGGGGCCACTTACGTGCTGAGTGAGATCAAAGGATTCAAGTACAGAACTCAGCTCATTTGCATTTCTGTCATCAACATTATCCACATGAATATTAAAATCACCTGTAATAACCAAACTATCAAAATCTGTGCATACAACTGAAAGCAACTCGGTAAAATGATCAATAAAACTGTGACATGACTGCGGTGGCTTGTATAGGACAACGAAGAGTATTGGAGGAGATTGTTTTTGTTGTATTTTAAAAGACACATATTCAAATGACGAAAACTTCCCAAGAGACATTCTATGGGAGACAAAGTGGTCTCTAAAAATGGCAGCTAAGCCTCCTCCTTTTTTGTTTTCCCGTATTTCAGATTCAAATTTGAAATTTG